AATTCATCCCCCATATATTAATTCATCCCCCATAGTAATTCACCCCCCCCTATAGTAATTCATTCCCCATATTGTCTCAATTCACTTACCTTTGCTCCGCGCGTTCCTCTCGCTGTGTTCCCGCGCTGTGCTCCGGTCTTCAGGGCGGACTGTGAGAGGAGAGGAGTTCGTCACGCTGCCCCGCCTACATCCTGGCTGCCCCGCCTACATCCAATGTTCCACGCTCTGCGGGCCGGATTAAAAGAGTCCTGACTTTTGAGGCGGCCGCCCCGAGAGGAGGGAGGGGAGCGGGCCCCGGCACACAGAAGAGCCGCATGTGGCTTGCGATCCGCGGCTTGCCGACCACTGAAACCCTATTGCCTGTCACCTGGTGGGCAGTGTGCTCCGGAGCCGCAGGAAAGATGAAAAAGAGCCGCGGGTTGCCGACACCCGCCCCAGACGCTACCCTGTTGATGCAATGGGAAGTACACAAATGCATTGTGCAGGGTAAGCTCCTGTCCATGGCCTGTGCATCAAAGTATGAGAAACAAACACTCTTTGCAGATCTGCTTACTTGAATCAAAATCTTGGAAGCAGCACACAAGCAATCTCATGCCTGGCAGGCTTTTTCAAGTACTCATTCAAGCTTATACTCTCCTCTTAGTGGAACTGGGACACAAACTAAAAAATAAATATACCCTCTCTCAAAAGTTTTTTAGCGTACAAGGCAACAAATGTAGATATCTGCTGGTGCAGGTCTTGTGCTCTAAATAAAAGGCAACAGTCCACCAGCTGCGTTCATCCTTGGGCCTCCTCTTAATGACCACTACTGACATTGCATAAGAATTTGAAAGTCCTCCATTCCAGATCAGATTGTATAATCTTTTCACAACAGATGATCCCTTCACATACTGCACCTCCAGAGCTACCCTTGTTGGGGAGTTTCTGGAACATAGTTGCTCTAAATCCATGCCTGGAGTGGAAGCTAGGAAGTCGAATGGCTCGATCATATTGAAAGAATGGGAGCTAGCTCTCAAACAGCTAAAACCAGACAAAAGTCCAGACCCCGACAGATTCACAGCGACATACTACAGGACCTTCACATGAATCTTAGCAACTCCATTTAATTGTGCCTTTAGCCCTCTTTCATCAACTATACCCTTAACTCCTGGGCTCCTAGAAGCCCACATCATGGTCATTCCAAAGGAAAGCAAAGAGCCTACCTAGGCTGCACATTATAGGTCTATTTCCTATCTCACTTTTAAACATTGATATTATAATTTTTGCAAAAATCCTAGCTTTCCTCTTGCTCCCTCTACTCTTGTAGCTAGAGACCAAGTTGGGTTCGCCCCTGAATGGGAAACCAGGGACAACACTATCAAGGCCCTTAATTTGCACTACTGACTGTCTTATTCAGAACAACAGGGTTTCTTTCTGTCCCTGGATGGGGAGAAGGCATTTGACAGAGTAGTCTAGGACTATATGAATCTGGTCCTGAGAGCCATAGGACTCCACAACGTATGCTTGGTTTCATTATATCTCTGTACATCGACCGTTGGGGTACTCATCAATAGTCTCCTATCAAATGGTTTTGCTATCCAAAATGGTACGAGACAGGGATGCCCTCTTTCTCCTATACGTTTTGTTGTTACACTTGAGCCATTTCTCCACCACCTGCACACTAATAATGATATCAGGGGTGTTACGCCCGCCGCACAGGAGTACAAACTCACAGAGTTTGCGGATAACATTGTGCTATTTCTTACAAAACCTCATGCCCCCCCTTCCTATTCGTATAGACAAATTTAAACACTTTCGGTCTATATCGAATTTAAAGATCAGCTTCACAAAGTCCTATGTACTGAACATATCCCGACAGTTTTGGTGACTCAATGCCAGAATAACTTCTTGTTCACCTGGAAAACCAATGTTATCATGTATTGTGGCATTCAGCTTCTTTCCTGTTTGGCAGATTTGTGTTCTAAAAACTATCTTTCTTTTTTGCGCTATCTCACCAGAAATAGGATAAACCCTTGTTTTGGTTTGACAGGGCCACAATTTAAAGATAAACGCCCTACAACGTCTGTTGTACATTTTGCAGACGGTACCGACGGTACTCTCTTTTCGACTTAACCTAGACTTTCTTCTGGGAATGCACCAGTGCTTTCTTGCAGACAGCTGGCCCCATGTCTGTGTCCAAGCCAAACATTTCTATGATTGTGACAAGCTTCTAGACCACAACAGATTGGCCTCTTGAATAGAAGGAGCCCCTCTTCCCCTTTTGGACCTACCTTCAAATACCACACTATTTACACACCCTAGATTGTGCTGCTCTCATCTCCAGACCTTTTACCCCCTTTCAAGGCCATTTGCACTAGATCAACCCCTCCACACCACTTAATATCCACAATGCATAATTTACCCTTCACTGGCCATCACCCCAAAAGTAGTAAAGTCTGTGAAAAGGAACTATCAATAGATTTTTCTCCAGACAATTGGGAATGCATTAATCTAAACATTCACAAAGGATTAGTGAATGTTACTACAATGAGAACGTGTATAAGCACCAGACTTGTTGGTACCGGACCACAATCTTGTTGCATAAATTTTGACCCAAAGTTCCCAATACTTGCTGGAGATGTCAGACAGACTGTGACACTTTACTGCACATCTGGTCGCGTCTGTGCCTCCAATCATACAGGTTTGAGATCCACGTGCCATTTCTCGTGTGACCACCTATGATCTTGATCTCACTCCAGCCAAATTTCTTCTTCCCTTCCTCACAAAGTTTAGTTCAAGTCCCTGGCTATGCACATGACGAGCACAGCCAAACTTTGCATCCCAGTACATTGGGGCTTACCCCACACACTGACCATCCAGGAATGGTTCACCCTTCTTCTCAAAATTGAGGTAGAAGAGCTAATTCATGTGGCCTTAGACTCACCTTCTAAATACATTTCTGGACTTATTAATTTTCTCAACTAATAGGGTCCCTGCCCTTCGACCAACCTGCTACGTAAGTTACTTATGCCAGCAATTTCTGTCATTACACTATTCGTCTGACTGTACATGCTATATAGGTCTGAAAAAGTTCCCGAAGTAGGCGGGACGTGCCTCCCCTCTGACATTCACATGCATATCTCCACATGCTGTGGTGCATACCTGGACCTTTCACAGCCGTACATCCATCCTTGAGCTGTTCTCTAGGCTTGAACTTGAGGAGTGGCCGCCATCTGCGGGAGTGCAGGCACCGCTGTGGAGCTCTTATTAGGAGTAAGTGGAAGGATTGCATCAAGCCATACAAGGTGAAAGGAGCTCTGGAAGATATAGAGGGGGTGTAGGATCCCTAAAATCCTAAAAGGCGCAATACTCACTAATATCTGGTGAGTGCGGTTGATGTTGATTTTACCCTGGTAAAAGGTGGAAGCACATTTCTTTGGGAGAAGATTATTTTGAATTTATTTTTTGGGAAAAAAGAACTTTATTATATTTTTTCTGCACGTAATTTATATACTTTCTTGGACACTTTTATAATTATAATATTTAATTTTTATTTTAAATGTTTTTGATTTATATATTGCTTTTGCTTATTGGTTAATAAGAGCAACTTGAGGCAATTGTGGTATAAATACCACATGTAAAATGACAGAGCGGAATCAGCACATGCTGAAGCACACAGTGCACAGAAGTCGCCAACTGTCTGCAGAGTCAATAGCTAAAGACCTCCAAACTTTGTGTGGCCTTTAGATTAGCACAGCAACAGAGAGAGCTTCATGGGATGGGTTTCCATGGCTGAGCAGCTGTATCCAAGCCTTACATCAACAAGTGCAATACACTGCGTCGGATGCCGTGGTGTAAAGCACGCCACCACTGGACTCTAGTGCAGTGAAGACATTTTCTCTGGAGTGACGAATCACATTTCTCTGTCTAGCAATCTGATTGACACTTCTGGGTTTGTCGGTTTCCAGGAGAACGTTACTTGCCTGATTGCATTTTGCCAAGTGTAAAGTTTGGTGGAGGGGAGATAATGCTGTGGGGTTGTTTTACAGGGGTTGAGTTTAGCCCCTTAGTTCCAGTGAAGGGAACTCTTAAGCCGTCAGCATACCAAGACATTCTAGACAATTTCATACTCCCAACTTTGGGGGAACAGTTTGGGGATGGCCCCCCGCCCCTTCCTGTTCCAACATGACTGCACACCAGTGCACAAAGCAAGGTCCATAAAGACATGCATGAGCGAGTTTGTGGTGGAGAACCTTGAGTGGCCTGCACAAAGTCCTGACCTCAACCCGATAGAACAACTTTCGGATGAATTAGAGCGGAGACTGAGAGCCAGGCCTTCGTGTCCGACATCAGTGCCTGACCTCACAAATGTGCTACTGGAAAATGGTCAAATATTCTCATAGGCACACTCCTAAACCTGGTGGACACTTCCCAGAAGAGTTGAAGCTTTTATAGCTGCAAAGGGCCAACCTAATATTGAACCCTATGGGCTGGGATGCCATTAAAGTTCATGTGTGTAAAGTCAGGCATCCCAATACTTTTTTCAATATAGTGTATGTGGAATAGTGGTTTTTAATTAACTTTTTGGACTGGTTCATTAGCTCAGGACAGGAAGTGATGCTACAGAAAGTAGGGGGAGGGAACAAAAGTTTTGGGCACAGCCATGTGGTAAGGAACTGGTACTGGTGCTGCAGTACTCTGTGAGAGAAGCAGAAATAAGAAGACTAAATCATGAGAAAAAACTCCATTAACCATTTTTCCCTCCAAAGAATTTATCCTCCTTTCCCACAAATAGAGCTTTCTTTTAGTGGTATTTGATTGCCTGTGCGGTTTTTTTTATTTTTTGCGCTATAAAAAGAAGACCCGACCATTTTGAGAAAAAAAAAAAAAAAGGTTTTTTTTTTACTTTTTGCTATTAAACTTGTCCAATAAAAAAAAATAAATCTAATTTCATCATAAATTTAGGCCAAAATGTTTTCTGCTACATGTCTTTTGCTAAAAATAAAAAATCCCAATACGTGTAAATTGGTTTACATGAAAGTTATAGTTTTTACAAATGGCGGTATATATACTGGGATTTGTCAAACTTTTTTACTAGTAATGGCGGCATTCAGTGACTTATAGCGGGACTGCGGCGGGCATTCTGACACTAGAGGGAACTGACTTGGTGTAACTGACATCCCCAGTTACACCAATACATTGATCAGTGCTAATAACAAGCACTGACACTGTACTAATGGCACTGGGCCAGAAGGGGTTAACATGAGGGGCAATCAAAGGGAGTGCTTTTTTACTGTGTGCTGTGTTAGTGCTTTCAACTGTAAGCACACTGTTTTGTATGGCTCTGCTATGCAGAGTCACACAAAGCAGTGTGCAGCAGCTGGCAGGAGAGAACTGTATTGTTTACCTACAGTTCGTTCTCTCTGTTGGTAATGCTTGGCGATCACCGGATGCCAGCGAGTAATCACCAGCCAGGACCCAGTGATTGACAGCCGTGGTTGCAAATAGTGGCACTGGTAGAGCGCGTGTGCAGCTTGCGCGCCCCCCTACCCGGAAATGCAAAATCACTTATATATACGTTTATATATGCTAAGGTTTCCATTGGACTGAATGAGGTATTGTTGCACAAGCTCTTTTTATAGAAGGTGATGTTATTTTTATGTGGCAATATGTAACAGGGTGATTACTACAATTATTTTGGTTTTGTTACTGTATGCTTCATGCTTTAACATGTCCTTCAAATGTATGTTTTGTATAATTAGTTTGTTCATACTGATGGTTTTTTTTTTCTCTTTCCTTCTTATCCCTAGTTATAATCTTGTCTTTCTTTGCATGTTAGTATGTGCAGTAGGGGGGCAGATGACATATCGCGCCGACTGGTGTATCTCCGGTTGAGGCGTAGATAAGGAGGGCAGAGGTTGCCACACTCAGGGCTGTCTCTTGTACCCTGGCTGCTGGTCGAGATTATCGCCATACTGTTGTAAAAACTGGACGTATTACTTTTAAAACTTTAACAACTTACTCTCTGAGCCAAGGAAGAGGAGGAGTCCTTTAAATATGCCCTGTGACCCAGCACACCCAAGAGTAACACCATTTACTGTTTGCTGTCATTAGGAGTGAGGAAGCCAGGCAGCCTGTGCAGCTTTACATCCACCAGCCAGCTACACAGCAGTCCAGACACTGTGGGAGCTCATCCATCCATCCTGCTTTGGTTGATGCAGTGGGCTGTCCCCCCCTTTGACTTGATGTGGTACTGTGTTTGCCCTTGTGAGAGTGTTATATTTTGTTTTCATACAATCAGTGGAAATTTACTGCATCAGAGAGCTTGTGCTATCTTCCTTTTGGCCTGGTTTGTGTCTTGGGAAATTATGCCCAGCTGCAGCAGTATTTCCCCCCCCTTCAACAAAGGAGAAATGAGTATGTCCTATTGTTGCAGACAAAGAGGCACAGAGGAAACTCCCATCCATCAGTACTTAAACTCTCTGCGTTTCTGGATGGTGTATGGGAAGATACCCATGAAAATCTGTACAGGGTGATCTTATATAGACAGAGTGGAGGATTACCTGGATATTTTAATGACTACTTCCCTCACAGCATAGAAATGGGGTTTTACAATAATGTCCCTGGCTAGCCCATCTTGACTGACCAGTTTTAGGGCCCTGTGAGCTCTGTCAGTTCTGGATGATGTTCAAGAATGTCAGGCATAATATCATTAAAGTGGTTGTAACTTACATATACCCAGTGAAGTGACTAGCCTCTGGTGATACTCAGTGATACAATAAATCCTCCTTCATAAGTTGTACCTTTTTATCTACAGTATGCTCTCTGCAGCCATTCAAAGTACAGATTGTGTTAGTGGGTAGGGAGCTCTGAAGTTATATTCTGCAGAGCTTAGTGAAGGAAGCTGATTGGAAGGGAGGGACCCCCCCCCCCTTCACAATGCACACAGGAACAGAGCTGGGGCTGTCAATCACAGGTTGTATGCTGAAGATAACACCCCATATCACCTTTTTTCTGTTGGTGTCAGGGAAACCTGCCAGAATTGACTCATATTGATGGCAGAGGAACGAGGCAACAGATAGAAATTATGCTTAATGTCCTGGATTATGGCAAGTACAAGCCATAGAGGGATATGCTTTGTTTATATTTCATGTCTGAGGTTTACAACCACTTTAGGAAGGACCTCATGCTTAGTATCCTTAACAGATTTAGGGAGTATTCTGGTCCAAAAATTATAATGCCGCAAACAGTTCTCAAGTTTCCTCTTTTTGCTAAAGCCAAAAATAGTTGCTCCTGTAAGTTCTGACCCCTCTGAGTATTCTGATTTGGTCTTGTGACCATAATTTCCATTGTATTGTTATTTCAATGCAATGCAGGCACAAAGGTATTTTAAATCAGCTTTGATATCAGAGGTCATTTGTGTGTAAGTATTTAATGTACCTCTGTTCAGAAGATCTAAGATCTTTACAAACAAAGCTTGTGAAACCAAATAGTCAGGGCAAGGAGGGCTAGTAGCCAGGTCTAGTGTTGCAGAACTGTGGGATGAGCCAGTGTCCGGAGAGGCCATAACATTTTCCAAGGTGTACTCACTGGTGATCTGTGAGGATGCTGAAGATCCAATGTGTTCCCCTTACAGCACTGCTCGGGTCTGTGTTCTGTGTCTGCTGTGTAGCTTTGGATTACATTTTGACGAAGTCTACAGAAGAACGGTCCGGCAGTGGTGGCAGAGTCGGCTCCTCTGGTTTGCTTTGGTTGCAGACTGGGTGATGTCCCTGGGGTCCGGTGGTCATTTAACTGATGCTGTGGGCGTTGTGGCAAGTAAATTTGATCAGTGTGGGTTGGAGCGCTTGGGCTATGCGGACATCTTGGAGAGCTCCGCACATATGCTTTTGTTGCATCTCTGCCTAATGCCCTTGTTGCCCAGGTTGTGAGTTTTTTTGTGTGGCCTTCTCTTGTTAGGTTTGTAGAGGTGCAGAATTCTCTTTCTTATTTTAGGAAAACCACTACATATTCAAAGAGATACCTGGCTATAGTATAAAAAAAAATCTCCTAATTGTCAATCAGCACTCTGCAGATGGAAGAGAACACAATGGAAAACCTACATCAGTCATGAATAGTAATTGTAAGCAATTACACTGGTGAGGCTTATAATGTATGATTTCTGAAATTGTTATTGATCTAGCCAGAACCCACTAATAATTTTCTTTGTGCTCCTGAAACAAAAGCCCAGCGCCAAACCTCCTTAGTCTTTTTAAGAACAAACTTAAAGCGGAACCTCACTCCATAAACCAAAAATGCTATTTTACTCATTTTTAATATTTAATGTCAGCCCCCATCCAACCATGTCTCTATGTTTTATTTTGCTGAGTAATCACTTTAAAAAAAACACCCCCTAGCATTTCTGGTTGTGGCCATCTTGAGTAAAGGCAGATGATTCATGTAGCATTTACTTTCTGGAATCCATATGCCTTTAGCACCAGCATGCAGGCAAGAGGGTGTGCTTCGCTAAGAAAATCCTGCCTCCCCTCCTGAAGACTCCTGAGATGTATGGCATCATTTGCCTAGGCATGGAAACCAGGAAGTAACTAAAGAAATGTAAAAAGTAAGTTTGAAACAAGTAAATATTATATCCCTTTATATATTTACCAATACTGGCTGCATAAGGATTGGAAATAGTCAATGTTACTGAGATGGTGAAGCTCCACTTTAAACTAATTGTGAAGGCTTCTTACCTTCATGCATTCTCCGCATGAAGGTAAAAAAATCTTCTGTGTTATCCGAGCCCCATCGTGATCCAGCTATGTGCACAAGAGCCTTGGCTCTCCGGGGACTCTCCCTCCTTGCTGGCTTGAGATACCAGTGTTAGCCATTGGCTCCTGCTGTTGTCATTCAAAGCCAATGAGCCAGTGAGGGTGCAGGGCTGAACTGTGGCTCTGTGGACACACAGAGCAGCGGCTCGGGAGCAAGCCTGCTTGGGTACCCCATAGCAAGCTGCTTTCTCTGGGGGCACTTGTAATTATCAATAAACGTCTGCACACCACTATTAACTGCACCATGCAGCAACCAGCAATATATTATTATTTAGGTTGCTTAAATCTCTCAACAATGTATCAATCTATTAATACAATAGTTTTTAATGTATAGAGTAAGCACACCAAATAGCCAAACTGCTTTAGCAATTGGTTTGTGTTAGGCATATACAGTACATATAATCACCTAGCAGGTACAGATAACCATGTATGTCACCTATGCTTGATGTTAGATGACAGACTTGGTTATTTGTACCTACTACGTGATTGTATGCACTGTATATGCCTAATACAAACATATTGCTAAAGCATTTGTCCAGAAGGATAGGCTAGGAGCACCAGCAAGGGACCCGAGAAGAGGAGGATTGGGGCTTCTCTGTACAAATCCACTGCACAGAAGCAGGTAAGTATGACATGTTTGTTTTTTTTTGTTTTTTTTTTTCCTTTTTAAAGCATTTCATTTAATATCACTTTAAAGTGTCAGCCCATGAAAATGTAAGGTTTAGATAGTATTAATTTGCACTAAAAGGTCAGCTTTTTTACATCAAGCCTTCAACTTCCATGTCTAATCACTGCATCAAAGGAGACCAAAAAATGTTAAAGCGGATCTGAAGTCCTACTGTAAAAAACTATGCGCAGACAGGCTTCTATTACAGAAGAGACATGCACTGTCTTTTCTGCACTAAGATGGCCCTACCTGCCTGCTGGCTGATTCCTCCAGCACTTCAAACCGAATTGCGCATGCAAAGCTCAGCTTACACTGCTGCGCTGGTCTCCGAAAGCCTGGATGACGGCCTCCTGTGCATGCACAGGTGTGACATTATCCCCCTCCAGCCAATAAAGAGGCCCAAAGAATGGCACTCAGAAGAAGATGCTGGCTCAGGACTATTGGACAGGTAAATACTGCTTTAAATATGGAACATATCTTACGACTTTTTCTCCAGAGGGTGACATTACAGTTCTTCCGGAGAGATTATGGGAACACCATCTCAAATCTGAATTTGGTTTCTTGACCTTTCCCAAGATTTTGCTGGATGGATCATGCCATCACCCTCACCAAGTTTCCATGTGCAGAAGATAGGGGTGTGGCAAGTATATAAATATATATTATATTAGTGCAGTAATAGCACTGAGCAAACTGTTGGCGCTATATAAATCTTGTATAATAATAATAATGTGATATGGAAGTGGCATATGCTATGTAATAAACAGACCTCGCTTTTTCGTGCAAAGTCAGCTGTAAATCTCTTGGAGATTCCAGTGATACAATTTTTTCTCTTCATGCCTGACAGCTTTGTTAAAACAGTGGTGTTTCTACTGTAGCTGATCAGTTTTCCTTAGTTGAAAACATATAAATGTGTATAACTAAAAATAAACAGCAAAAATTACACCAACAGATTGTAAACTCGA